CTCTACACAAACTACGCCATTCTTGGACTAACATATGGTTCAATTTTAATTCAATAATTCGATTGTGCGTAGGGGTCTTTAGCAGTGGGAGGATACTTGAGGGCTCATAGAACATGGAAAACATACGAGGTTGGACAGGGAATTGAAACCATACCACTTGACTCCATGACATGCCTTAATATCTAAAGCTCATGTCAGTCTGATTAAAACACAGATCCAATTTCGTTTCATTTTTTATAGTTCAAAATTTCGTTTTTACTTGTCTTTACTACAGGTGATATCGCAGACAAGTCTTATTTTTCATTTTTATAATCTTAGCGCACGCGCAGGGGTCTTTCCTGTGGGAGGAAACTGGAGTACCTAGAGTAAACCCACAAGGTTGAGAAGGCACCCCTATCTCCAAGCCACATACGCTCACACCAGTGAGTCACGGTGGTCTTCGATAGACCAGTAATTTGTGGAGAAAGGATTGGTGTCAAAAACCAAGCCTGGAAATAAGGCACCTGTCACAGACAATGTCAGGCACAGGTTCAGGCTTTGTCAGGCACAAAACCTCTGGTGCCTGTCATTTTGTCCGGCACTGATTTGTCTTTTTTAATAATATTATTAATACATGTCCGCCACTAAGTTGAAAATGTCAGGTACTATTTCATTAGTGTCTGACATTTTGTCAGGTACATCTTAAACCGTTATTTCCAGGCCTGGTCAAAAATCCATTGCATTTTATTTCTTTCAATCAAAATTAACAAACACTGAAGCAAACACATCAATACCAACTTTAAATCGAAAATATTTGAAGGTAAAGTTGAGGTCAACATCTTCAGTTATCGAACGGAACAAAAATCAATCACAGTCTGTTTCCATGGATATAAAATAATATTAAAACTTTGTAGATAAATCAGTATAAGAGAAAAACATCAATACCATACCAAAGAAAACCTGTTGAATGATCGACAAAAAATCTGGTGATTGCTTGTCAAATATTCCCACAAATACTATTCGATTGAGGTTTATCAAGGATTGGGTGTTAGCTTTTATTCCATGAAGGGGGACCATCTGGATAAGTTAATCATTATACATGTATATCAATTTTTGTCATTGATCTCAACCAATATCAACACATCCATATGTTTCAACACCTTTCTAACCAAAATCTATACTTTCATTTTATGCAAATATCCACTCCTTTGAGCTTGGAATGTAATTGAAAATAACATTCCCTACATTTGAAAACTTTTTAAATTATTTTTTTACAATCTTTAAGAATTGAACTACTTTTGTAACCTTTCAATTCATAAAGTCACGATGCATTTCAAACTGCTGTAGTCTGAAAACATTTTAAAACATATTTTTTTTAACAATCTTTAAGAATTGAACTACTTTTTTAACCTTTCATAAAGTCACGATGCATTTCAAACTGCTGTAGTCTGAAAATATTTTTAAAACATATTTTTTTTTAACAATCTTTAAGAATTGAACTACTTTTTTAACCTTTCATAAAGTCACGATGCATTTCAAACTGCTGTAGTCTATGCAAAATGAAATGACATGACACTGAACTTCCTACAATGACACTGAGCTTCCTACAGATCTTCACCAACTGGGTTAATATGCCATACAGGTTGCTATGGCCTACCCATATTTTGAATTCCAACTGTCAGGTGTTTCCTGCCACTGCTAAAGACCCCTAAGCGAATTATTGAAATAAAATTGAATCATGTTAGTCCCGACCTAGTTTGTGTTGAGTGGAGTTAAACCTGATTTCTCTCTCTCTCTCCCTCTCTCTCTCTCTCCAAAACTGTCAGGGGTTCAGCTATATGCATGCCAATATGGACACAGGAGCTCGTTTTTTTTTTCATCTCATCCAAACAACAAGATACTGTTTCTTTGTATGGTGTTGGGTCTAGAACATCTGATATTATGCACCTGTCTTACATGTATATGTCAACAATGGGGTGGGGGGAAATTGCGGTCAAGCACTAGTCACTTGATCAGAATGTCCTTGATTTGGACCCCTACATGGGCCGAGAACATCCTTTATTGTTCTCAAGCCTGTGGGGTGACAAAAGGAAAATGTGCAAAGTTGTTCAGATGGTCCCCCCAAAAACAAGGCTATTCACATCATTCTAATAATTATTCTTCCTTTTTAAATTCACGGATATTCAAAACTGGGACACCATCGCCATTTCTTGAAGTCTCTGATCGTTATTTCAGGAATTGTTGAAATGAAATGGGGTTTAATGTCCTACTGTTCTGCTCTAACTGGGCTAATGAAGACTGGCATACGCCATACAGTGTGCTAGATGTATGAGGAATATTGTGCTCGGACAACGGCGCTACGGCCTACTCTTACATCAAATTCCAACTGCCAAGGGTTTTCCATCCGATCCGAATGACTAGACAGCTGTTTAAAGATATGATGAATCAAATATTTGTCAATATTCATCAAAGTAAATAGGGGCAAAAGCCAGTCTCAGTGTCCCTGTAATCTTCACAAAAAAAATTTGATGGGCCACTTTTTAATCCGAGTGAATCAAGGCTGGGAAATCATTTACCAATGATAATTGTATTTTATTTTCTTAAAGATACATGTACATTATGAGAGATTAGATAAAGAGCTGGCAGTTCTCATTATAATAGTTAAAAACTAGATAATGTAAAGGGAATATGCTGAAAATTTCAGTCAAATTGATCCACTCTCAACCAAGATTTTAGCGATTGAATTTTTGGCATGGTCTCAATCATCATTACTAAAGTCAGTACGATAAAAAACATAGTCTTGATTATCCATTTGATGATTAGATTATGAATGGAAGTCGAGGAGCAAATCGGAACCTAATCCAATAAACATCGTAGGCTATCGATGCCATCGAGAGTTGATTATGGTCTGGATAAGTTAATTAATGTCTAATTAATAATTAAGATAACATTTCAGGCCTTAAGAAAGACGTGCAATAGGCAGATTTAGCTCTTGTATAATATATGTTCAATCAAATGTTATCTAATTAATCTGATCACATTTCAGCATGGATCACACCTTGAAAAATTAGATGCTGTCCGAAATATGCAAATGATGATCCACAGCTGTAATGATTTACGATTTTCGATTTTATAAATCTTCTATTTCCATACGAAACCAGAGGGCAAGGAGGAAATTGTCATAGAATATTAAGAATATACATCTTTTCTTCCCTTGTATTTACATAGTTCTCCATATTCTTCGAACGTAAGATCAGACCCTTTCACATTTGCATATATAATTACAAGCAATGACCATAAATCATGTAAGTTACTCAGCTATAAATATGACATTTAGCCAGATACTGGGCTCTAATAACACAACAAGAAACCAATGAAATATCGAGATTTCGGCAAGGATAGATGGATTGATTATGCCAAAATTGCCCTACCATCTGTTTACATAAAATGCGTAAATGATCATACATGAAGCAACGATGAAAAAAAAAAGGAAGAGAAGAAAACTGAAGCGGATTTCTGACGAATATCATATGTCAAAATAATCAGATCTAATGACTCAAACATTTACGTAAAAAATAAATCACATAAATTATAAGATTTCTATGTATTCACCATCTTCTTGTCTAGTTGGAAAAATAATATTATTAACGCAAACTCACAAATATGTTAATCTAATGCCATGCTAAATGAATAAACTGTATTTATAATTTAATTCTAACATTGCGATATTTTTTGTTTTTTTGTTGCAGGAAGTGTTTTGGTAAAATGAATCGTCTGGAGACTGCTGACTAGCAGGAAAAAACCCAGATTATTTTCTAGGGCAATAAATCAAAGAATGTATTATATTGAGGAGTGTAGAAGCTTATAAACATGTAGGAATAAAAGATGGATGATATATTGATGATGTTGGGTTATTATATGGGTTGATTCTAATTCTATATCTGTTACAGTGTTAGGCAACACAAGAATAGTGCACAGCAAAACAAGAGAGAGAAATGGGGTTTAACATCACTGACACAAACTAGGTCATTTCGGGACTAACATATGGTTCAATTTTATTTCAATAATTTGCTTTGCGTAGGGGTCTTTAGCAGTGGAAGGAAACTGGAGGACGTGGAAAAAACTCACAGGGTTGGACAGGCCACCCTACTCCTTGTCATGTACAGAGAGAGAAAACCTACAAAATTTGACAGGCGACCCTACTCCTTGTCACGTACAACCGGGGAATCAAAACCACGCCAGTTGACTTAATGACAGACCGTATGATACAACGTGTATGTGCTAACCATTCGGCCATCCAACCCCCCACAGCAAACAAAGCTGTACTCCATGTAAAGTGGATTATGTAATGGTTGGCAAATGAGGTACAGTACTAGGGTATATGATCCTATATAACTGCTACTGATTTTTCTCTGGTATTATAGAGAGAGAGAGAGAGAGAGAGAGAGAGAGAGTATTTAACATTTCTTCAACACAAACTACATGTAGGTTTAATTTCATTTCAATAATAGGATTTTGCTTGCTCGTAGGGGTCCTTTGCAGTGGGAAGAAACCCTACTCCTTGTCACGTACAAGCATGAATCGATAAACTTGAGGTATTTATGTATTCCGAGTTCTAAATTCTATTTCTGTTATAATTGTTGTAGAATGGGTTTGTAAGGTGGTAAGGTGGTAAGGTACTGATATAGATGATGTTAAACTGTCTCACTATTGTAGTTGATCACCCCATTTGGCTGATATGTCGTGGAGCATATGTCAGAATTATTAGCGTAGTTCAAATATTGGGCCTTAAAAGGATAATGATCATGGATGCTGTTTCAGTGGTATGAACATGTACAACCGGGAATATGCCCTATCTGATGTCAAGTCATGGTGAATTATATTCAAAATTCCAATGTAACTATTACTAATCTCGTGGATATTCTACAGGTCCTCCTGTTTCCTCCCACGGCTAAAGACCCCTACCACATAAGTGAATTATTGAAATGAAATTGTACAATTCCAATGGATTAAAAGTTTACCTTGATTTTTGACTTCTGCAAATTCATGATTATATTCATCTAGTGTTTCCCGTAGTTGTTTGTTTTCAATCTCCAAGTCCTGGACTCGATGTGCTTTCTTCTGAATCTGCAAGGCGTGTTCTAGTGCAGTGACAGGATCTATAATATAAAAAAATTCAAAATTGAAAATTTACATAATTTTCATAAAGCATACTTTATTCTACATGTAACTAGTAATCAAAATTCAATGGATCTAAACATCAGTTGTCTTCCCTTATATTTCATTGATTCATTGGGTATTATGCCACATCCAATAACTAGTAACAGAATCTATCAAAACCAGTACCAATGAAAGACTAAGTGCGAGAATATGAATTTTGAAAAGTCAAATACAAGAAATTCCTTAATCATCATTTTTGAGTGACTTTGAAACGGTTCAATTTCGTATATATAATGAATAATTGAAAATTTGGCTACATTCGACATCAAGGGCAGCGGCACTACAGCCTACTCTTATATCGAATTCCAACTGCCAAGGGATCTTTTACGTGCACGCCAATGTGTACACGAAACCTCGGTTTTTCGTCCCATCCGAACGACTAGACAGCTGTCCTTGTCAGGCCTTCCGTCCTGCATCACTGCCAAGAGGAAACCACGTTGGAAAATCTGGATGAACTTTCTCGGCCAATGCAGGGATCGAACACCCGACTTCCAGGCTAGCGAGCCAGCGTCTTACCCACTTAGCCAAACAAGTAAAACATAAATTATTTCAATGATGTTCTATAAGTAAACTCTATATACACTGGGCACAATTCTTTGGAATTCAATTCCTGTTTATTGCTGTATAATGACCAGAGAAACCTAGTAGAAAACGTTGCTCAGTAATAAACTGTAATTGTACTCCATGGAATTATGTCCTGTATTTAAGCAATACGGTTTGCATCATAAATCGTATAAAATATTGAACATGAACAAAATCACCAATGATGATATATTATCTATACAAGTAATAAAATAATTAACGCATCAATAGCATGAAATCAACTACCTCCTCTTTTGTCATATATCCATATCATATAAATAAAAATATTACAATATGGATCAATGTAAATCATCAAAGGATCTCAAAATCCACACTTTAAATCATGATATAAAATGACATAAATAAAAAAAATTACAATAAGGATCAATGTAAATCTAAAGGGTCTAAAAAATCGCACTTTAAATCATGACTGGAATTGAAATCATAATCCATATACAAGATGAAGATCCCGCAAATTTGTGACACCATCTCGAAATTGTGAGAAGAATCGAAGTTACTTCAAATGTCATAAATTGCAAAAATCATAAACGATTTAAAAAATCGAGCTCTTTCATAAATTGCAAAAGTGTAAAAGATTCAAAATATCAAGCTCTCTCATAAATTCCAAAATTGTAAATGACTCAAAATATCGAGCTCTCTAGCTGATATAGAAAGATAGTAAAAGACTTAAAAAATTGAGTTCTCTCATTATGTGCAAATATGTCATAAACTTGTGACCAAAGATAAACATCTGAATTATTAAGTTCTCGTAATATGCATTGACTACAAAAACTGAATCATCAAGCACTCAAAAATAGTGTAATCGAAAGATGAAAAAAAAAAAAAAGGTCTTTTGTACGTCAAGCTCTTGAACCGACAAATATATGGAAGATGTGAAAATAATCAAAAGTCTATCAAACTTGCGCAATGGGATCGTCGATAAAACAAAAGAAACTATAGTCACACCATCCTGATACGTAATTACAAAACAAGATGTATATAAAAAAAAACCTCTCAAACCAACCAATAGCAGTGATGTTAATAAACTGAATATCGCCGTCTGCCAATCGAACTAATATATACTCGGTATTTATTGATTAATCATCAGAATATAGTGAAAATTTTATCAAAACCAAATCTGAATCAATTATTTTCAGGCTCTTTTCTAAGATTATGAACTTATTGGCATATTGATTTTAAAAACTTACAAACTACACAAAAGCAAGAGTTGATAGAAATCTGTGCAGGTCTTTTAAAACTAATCGAAATAATAGTCAATATTGATTAACTACTAGTGTGAGGCCATCTGTTGGCAACGCCTGATATTTAGACCTTGGGTGATTCATATAAAAAATCCATAAACAACAAATTTATTCTGATCATCTTACAATGGATGACGATAAAAACAATTACAAAATATTTACAAGAACAAAATTACTGAATGACCCTTAATTTATTTTGATCATCTAACACTGGACGGTAAAAACAATTACAAAATATTTACAAGAACAAAATTACTGAATGACCCTAAAAGATATTAAACTCCATGACTGGGGAAGGGGGTCCTTGACTTTAAAAGTGACTCTCAAATATCTTATACAAACGATACCGAAATCATTGACCATTTCTATATGGATTAGCGATGCAAATTTACAAGCCATACATTAGTGATTGCAGATTTCTTAAGTTTTACAATTCCTGACAAGACGTTGAACTCAATATTGTTTCATTTCCAATTCCCTTATTATTCTAGAATTACAATACACAATATTTATAGCGATTTCTGATTATAAATTTAACAATTCCTTGTATTTATGTCTATATCAATATTCTGGAATTACAATACAAGATATTTCTCCACTCAACATCCACTCAAGCTGACCGCAAAGCTGCAATTGCAGGTGTTGAGATCACTTGACATGACATTCATCGACTTAATGTTCACTCCAACTGAACAATGATCTGCATTAGCATGTCTTTAGATCACTCAGCAAGACATTCATTCACTTAATATTTAATATTCTACGTAATAAATGGAATGAAATGAAATGGGGTTTAACGTCCTACTGTTCTGCTCCAATACTTGGCTAATGAAGACGGGCATACACCATACAGTGTGCTATGAGGGAAATTTTGTCCGGACAGCGGCGCTATCGCCTACTCTTATATCGAATTCCAACTGCCAGTTGATCTTTTTCGTGCATTCCAATATATACGCGGGACCTCGTTTTTTCGTTTCATCCAAAGGACTAGACAGCTGTCCTTGTCAGGCCCTCCGTTCTGCACCACTGACAAGGGGAAACCACGTCGGAAAATCTGGATGAACTTTCTCGGCCAATGAATCTACGTAGCGTTGGTTTAAATAAGATCTAATTACTTTTTTTACTGATCTGATTCCAGTCACTCTGATTGGCTAAAACCATGATTGAGCAAATGGGGTGCATCATTTCATTGGCTTACCGAGGGGTCAAGTCAGGTCAGTTGAGCACAAACTTATTGTAAAAGAGAGAGAGAAATGGGGTTTAAAATCCACTCAACTCAAACCAGGTCATTTTGGGACTAACATATGGTTCAATTTTATTTCAATAATTTGCTTCCGTAGGGGTCTTTAGCAGTGGGATTAATCCTGAGAAATCCCACGAGGTTGGACAGGCAATCCTACTCCCTGTCATGTACAAGCGGGGGAATCAAAATTGCACCACTTAACCCAATGACAGATCATCCAACTCCCTCTGAACATAAACGTAAAGTAAATATAAACAACACAAAAAAGGAAAGAAAAACAAAAATATGGCCAGCATTTTAAATATTCTGTATCTTCATCTCTAAATGAAGGTCTGGAGAATGTTTGAGTTGTTGATGTTCTTGTAGCGGATGGAACCCTCTCAGGAACTATATGGAACCCTCTCAGGAACTCTGGGTAGTACCCATTCCAACAGAACCCTCCCAGGAACTCTGGGTGGTACCCATTCCAAAAGAACCCTTTTGGGAACTCTGGGTAGTACCCATTCCAACAGAACCCCCTCAGGAACTTTAGATAGTACTCATTCCAACTGAACTCTCTCAGAAACTCTGGGTGGTACCCATTCCAACGGAACCCTCTCAGAAACTCTGGGTAATAGCCATTCCCACAATAAAATATTTCATTCAATATTTGTAATGATAAGAATTGATTTGGCTTGTATTTTATATCAACCAAGAGTCAACAGATTATTGTTTAATATAAACTTCCTGTATATATACTATACCGGTAATACTAATTATACATCCATATTACCAGTTCAAAATAAATATGTAGTTTATAGTGCTCTGTATAATGTGGAATTGCTCAATGAAACAACCCTTTATCAAATGATTTGAGAGGTCTTTATTCATGTGTGAGAGAGAGAGAGAGAGAGAGAGAGAGAGAGAGAGGGGGGAGGGTTTAACGGCCATTCGACACAAACTAGGGCATTTTGGGACTAACATAGGTTCAATATTATTTCAATAAATCGCTTGCACGTGGATGTCTTTAGCAGTGGGAGGAAACCGGAGGACCCGCAGAAAACCCACGCGGTTGGACAGGCGACCCTACTCCTTGTCACGTACAACCGGGGAATCGAAACCATGTCAGTTGACTCAATGACAGACTGGATGATATTAAATATCTATTTATGTTTTATTGAATAAAATGAGTTAATCTTGTCCAAAAGCCTTTTAGAAACCAATATAATATCCTGTGACAATTTCTGAAGTAGTGAAGCATTTTTCTGAAGAAATATTAACTGGCTAAACAAAATCCACACATAAAATGATTTTGCCCTTAAATCACATCCTAAATCCTTCCGGGTCAGGTATCACAATGAGCTCAACCAATGGGCATTACACCTTTCGTTAAACAAATTCACACATCAAATTGACACTTTGATTTTCTCTACAAATCCAATAGGTTCACGCCTTTTAAATTATAAATGTATCTTAATCAAATAATACGTTGTTGTGTTATTAGTTAACATAATATTGAATATACGTCCGTAAACTTTACAGTTTAAACAGGATGACGGAATTCAATTTCTGTCATACACATAGATAAATAATCTCATTTTTCATTAAGAAAATCAAAACTTGTCAATTCAAAAATGTGTTAAGTGGCGTAGTTTTGATTCCTTGCTTTTATGTGACAGGGAGTAGGATCGCCTGTACACCCTTGTGGGTTTTCTTCAGGTCCTTCTGATTCCTCCCACAGCTTAAGACCCCTACGCCCATGCAAGTTCTTGAAATAAAATTGAATCATACGACAAACTTCTCCCACATATGGTACAATTTTATCTTATTAATCCACTTGCATGTAGGGGTCTTTAGCAGTGGGAGGGATCTG